ACATCAACTTCCATGCTCTCGCGTTCACCAAGCGCGTCTTGTTCGCTCATTTTTGTCTCCCTCTACCCGGTGGGGCCTTATCCCTATCGCCTTGTTTGCCCTATTTTGCGGCGCAAAACACGACATTTTTCTATCCTGAATGCGAAATCCGGACCCCATTTGACTGTATTTTTGCCAGATAGATCAAAGCCGGAGAGACGCGTCAAGCAAAAGACTGACGTTTACGTAAACGTTAATAACGCTGAGGTGGCTGTAGAGAGATGTGCAAAGACGCTGAAAATCGAACTATCCGCAGCCTCTGTCACCGGGTGTCGCTTGTGCTCGCGGGCCAACCGGATAATATCGCACCTCGGAGGTCGATCTCTTGCAAAATCCCCAACAAGATCTGAGAAAAATTGAAAGCCTGCTGGAGTTTTATGTCGACGCTGGCATCGACTGTTTTTTGGGGGATGAGGCGGTTGATTGGGCCGAGCAGACACTCAGGCAGGCCGCGGAACGTCGCCGGGCTCAGGTCGCGGTCTCTGAACCCAAAGACGCGCAATCGATCGGCTCGAGTGCTTCGCAACCGGCGCGGATCGATACCGGCCGGTTACCGAAATCACCCGCCCAGCCACAGACGTCGATCACACCACAGGCTCCGACTGCATCGCAAACCCCTGTCAATCTGTCGCAGGGCACGGCCGCAGGGCAGCCGGCTGTTATTCCCGATCAGCAGATCGTTGCGTCCGCCCGCGATCTTGCTGCATCAGCTGAAACGCTTGATGATCTCAGGGCCTGTCTGGAAGCCTTCGACGGCTGTAACCTGAAGCTCACTGCCAAGAGGCTGGTTTTTGCAGACGGGTCTCCGGATGCCAGGCTGATGTTTGTCGGCGAAGCTCCCGGACGGGACGAAGACCTTCAGGGCAAACCCTTCGTCGGGCGGTCCGGCCAGCTCTTGGATCGCATGCTGACGGCAATCGGACTGGATCGTTCATCCGCCTATATCGCGAATGTCGTTCCCTGGCGACCACCGGGAAATCGAACGCCGACACCGCAGGAAACAGAAATCTGCAAGCCGTTCATCAAGCGCCAGATCGAGCTGGTCAATCCGGACGTGTTAGTCTTTCTCGGGGCTGCGTCCGCCAAGAACCTGCTCGGCGTCCAGGACGGCATTCGCAAGATGCGCGGCCGATGGATGAGTTATCCGGTCACGGGACGGCAGATAGCGGCGATCGCGACATATCATCCGGCCTATCTGCTGCGCAGTCCCTTGGAAAAACGCCTGTCTTGGCGCGATTTCCTCAGCATTCGCGCGAAACTGACCGAAAGTTAAATCCCTCATTTGACCTCGCGTTAACACCGTTTTTAGGCTTCAGGTTGTAGTCTGGGGTGTGGTGAATCCGGAGGTTCAATTGAGCACCTTTAACGCTGTCAGGACTGCAGACAACTGTGTCGCGGCACTAGTCGTCGATCTTGCGGATATGACCTGTTTTGAGGCGTCGGTGCTTGATCTGACCGACAAGGGGTGTTGGATCGTTTCAGAAAAGGTTGACCTGCTCAAGGAGGAGGTCGGTCTGCGTCTGGAAGGCTGTGACAAGCTTGTCCGTGGAACGGTTATTGCTTTTGGTGACAATGAAGCCAGGATCAGCTTTGAACCCATGAAGTCGCAGTCCGGCGAAAAACGGCGCGAAATTCGGCGCCCCGTCTGGATCAGCACAATAGTCTGCGGAAAGACCAGCCCTTTCACCATGAAGTGCAGGATCGTGGATGCCAGCAAATCAGGGTGCCGGATTGAAGGAGACAATCTGGATCGCCTGCCCCGGGAGGTCGAAATCTCGATTCCGGGACTTGATCTGCCGATTTCCGCGAAAATCGTGTGGCGCGCGGAGGGAAGCGCGGGTGTTCGTCTCAACTGGCCATTCGCGCCGGCACCGATGCCGACACCGGAGATGATCGCGATCAAACTCGACCGTGAAAAGGAAAAGGAAGCCCAAAAGCCGAAGCCGAAAAAGCGCATTAGCGCCTTCGGATCTTGACGGCCACAGAGCGTTAGATCGCGCACGGAACGAATTAAGGTTGCCGGCGACCTTTGCAAGTGCAGAGACGATACATATATCGAGAGAAGATTTTGATCACTCTCAGGGCTTTCCAGCGTGCTTTCCAGCTTTCGTCGTATTCTTCCCAAACGTTTCCGCAATGACAAACCGGTCATTCCCGTCGTGCGCCTGCAGGGTGCCATCGGCATGCAGAGCCCGATGCGCTCCGGACTGTCTCTGGCTTCAGTAGCACTGCCCCTGGAAAAAGCCTTCTCGATCAAGAAGGCGCCAGCAGTCGCATTGATCGTCAATTCCCCGGGAGGGTCTCCGGTACAGTCACGCCTGATTTTCAAGCGCATTCGGGACCTTGCCAAGGAAAATGACAAGGACGTCCTTGTTTTCGTGGAGGATGTCGCGGCAAGCGGCGGCTATATGATTGCACTTGCCGGTGACGAGATCTTTGTCGATCCGTCTTCCGTCGTCGGGTCGATCGGCGTTGTCGCGGCCGGTTTCGGTTTTACGGAACTGATCAAGAAAATTGGCGTCGATCGCCGCGTTTACACGGCAGGCGAAAAGAAGGTGACGCTTGATCCGTTCCAGCCGGAAGACCCTGAGGACATCGCCTATCTGAAAACGCTTCAGCTGGAGATCCACGAAACCTTCATTGATCTGGTGAAATCCCGGCGTGGTGACATTCTGACAGACGATCCGGACCTGTTTACCGGAAAATTCTGGACTGGCCGCACCGCCGTTCAGCTCGGACTTGTCGATGCCATCGGTGACTTGCGAGCCGTTTTGCGTGAGCGCTACGGTGAAAAGACGCAACCGAACCTGATATCTGCGCCGCGCGGTCTGTTCGGCCGAAGGGCTGGTCTCGGTGTTGCACTGAAAGGGCAACGACTGACTGAAGGCCTTGGGGAAGAACTTATTTCCTCCGTGGAGGAACGGGCGATGTGGATGCGTTACGGCCTTTAAATGGACGTATTGAAATTGTGAGGTGGGAGCAAGAAGGGGAGTAGAAATGACGGAACTGATAGGTGTTGCTGCCCTGGCCGTTGGCGGCTACTGGATCGTCCAGCGCGTCAAGCGCAAGATGGCCGAAGTCGAGAACCAGATCTCCAAGGCCGCGGCAAAGGCCGACCCTAACGGTCGCGGCGCAAAGCTCGTTCTGGATCCTGAGACCGGCAGGTATCGTCCAGGCAATTGAACCGCGCCGGCGGAGCACAAGCTCCGCCGACAGGAACCTAGGCGTTCGTTTTTGCAGTGGATGCAACAAACAGACCCCAACGCAGTGTTTTCCTTCTGGCTGTTACGCCGAGGATCATGGCGGTCAGCACGACAAGCAGGAATTCCGCCACGGGACCTGCCAGCCAGATCCCTGTTTCACCGAAATATGCCGGTAGCGCGATCAGCAATGGCAGAAAGAAGAAATACGGTTTGATCAGACTGATCAATGCCGCGCGCATCGCGTCGCCAAGCGCCTGGAAATAGGCCGCGATAACGAAGAGCGGACCGGCGGCAAACATCAAAGCGACTGTGATCGGCATGATCCTCGACAACTCGCCGGACACCTGCAAATCATCGACGAACAGGAAGCCGACCGGTCGGGCAAAAATCGTCAAGAGTATTTGTGCACCAAGGCAATAACCGAACGCTGTCAGAAGTCCGAGCCGTAGCGTGTCGTCCGAACGCTTCCAATCTCCCGCGCCGTAATTGTTGCCGATCATTGCCTGCAGTGCCTGGGTCAGTCCGAGCAGCGGCAAGAAGACGAAGGTCATGATGCGGGTCACGATGCCGAAGGCGGCGACCGTTGCTTCGTATCCTTCCTGCCCGAAATACTGAAGCGAGGCGAAGGTTGCCGCAGAGCTGAGGGCAATACCGGCAAAGTTCAGGCTTTGAGGGGCTCCAAGAGCAAAGATGGACCACCAATGCGCGGTCAGCGGATAGCTTAGCAGAGCGCCGGGTTTCAGGACTGTCTTTGCTCGCAGGCGAAACAGGATCACCACTGTAAACGTCAGCAGCTGCGCGAGCGCAGTCCCGTAGGCTGTTCCCGCGACACCAAGTTTCAGGATGGCGACGAGCACGAAATTGAAGACAATATTGGCCAGCGATACAAGAAGGCTGACCCCGGCCATCTGCATGACGAAGCCTTCGCTTCGAAGGGCACCCGTTTGGACTGAAAGCACAAAGAGAAGTGGCGAGGTCCAGACTGTGATAGCGAGGTATGTATATGCCATTCCGGCGATCGGTTCCGACCCCTCGGCAGCAATCAGGATCAGCGGGTATCCACCGGCTGAAAACAGGACGATTGCTCCTGCGCCGGTACAAAGTGCCAGTCCGTGTGCACCGGAAAATACCGATCGTGCACCGTCGATATCGCCGCCACCAAGGTTGCGGGCGAGGATACTGTTCATCCCGTTTGAGACCAGCGTCGCCATCGCGACAAGCAGCATGTAGGCGGGAAACATCAAGGTGACTGCGCTGAGCGCATCTGGTCCTACGAACCGGCCAAGAAACACGGCATCCGCGACCGTCAAAAGGCCGTTCATGCTCATGACCAGTATGATCGGCAGTGCGGTTTTCAATAAGGTGAGGGCAAGTGGCCCCTGTGTGAAGACGTTCTTCCGCGAAGTGTCGGATGACATTCCGTTCTCCAGGTCGTTATTTCGCAAGGAAGGGGAAGCTCGCATTGCCCGCAACGCGAAACGCGTGGAGGAACGAAAAATCGTCAAATCCGGATCTTCACCAAGACGGAGGTCGGCGAGCGGCTGGCGTCCGGAGCCGCGATGTTGGTAGTTTGTTGAAGGAGATGCGTCAACCCCGGCTGTCGCTGCACACCATTTGGTGTGTGTGCCTCCTGGGCAGCGCGTCTTGACCTTGCCGCCGCATCGTGGCACCTCTCGCTCCGCAATGGCGGGACTGTCCTGCCGCCAAGAGCCAATTGCGGAATGAAAATCCATGTCCACTGAAAACCTGCCGGCGCATATGCGTCCGGAAAATTCCTTTCAAGGCCTGATCCTGACGCTTCAGCGTTTCTGGGCAGACCAGGGCTGCGTGGTGCTTCAGCCTTACGACATGGAAGTCGGCGCCGGGACGTTTCATCCGGCAACCACTTTGCGCTCGCTCGGGCCGCGGCCCTGGAGGGCCGCCTATGTGCAGCCGTCGCGTCGCCCGACCGATGGACGCTACGGTGAAAACCCGAATCGCCTGCAGCACTATTACCAGTTCCAGGTGATCTTGAAACCGTCACCCTCCGACCTTCAGGATCTCTACCTGAAGTCGCTCTATGCAATAAGTCTGGACCCGAAGTTACACGACATCCGTTTCGTGGAGGACGACTGGGAAAGCCCGACACTCGGTGCCTGGGGGCTTGGCTGGGAGTGTTGGTGCGACGGTATGGAAGTCTCGCAATTCACGTATTTTCAGCAGGTCGCCGGGTTCGAGTGCTCCCCGGTTTCCGGCGAGCTCACTTACGGTCTAGAGCGTTTGGCCATGTATATCCAGGGCGTCGATAACGTCTATGATCTCAACTACAACGGCATGGAAGGCGATGCGAAGATCACGTATGGCGATGTCTTTCTCCAGGCCGAACAGGAATATTCGCGTCACAATTTTGAACATGCGGACACGGACATACTGTTCCGTCACTTCAAGGATGCCGAAAACGAGTGCCGTGCGTTGCTGGCGGCCGGCGCGAAGGCACGGGACGAGACGGGCGCACATGTGCACCAGGTTGTGCTTCCCGCATACGATCAATGCATCAAGGCCAGCCATGCTTTCAACCTGCTCGATGCGCGTGGCGTCATATCGGTGACCGAGCGCCAGAGTTATATTCTGCGTGTGCGCGAACTCGCAAAGGCCTGCGGCGCTGCATTTCTGGAAACGGAAGCCGGCGGTGTCGGCTATCACAACCAGGCGGCAGAATAAGCCAGGTGAATTCCTGATCTTTAAGGACGGGCAGTGATCTGGGGTCTCAGGCAATCGACGAGACAGTTGATAAGGTATTGAAACAATTCCCTGTGCCTGCGCAGGATGACAAGACAGTGCTCAGGCGCTAGCCTCCGGTCATTCTTTACGGGGGGGTTCACGTTGGCCTGGTTCATTCTTGCATTTCTGATCGCTGTCTCGGTCTTTGCGATTTTTCTTTACAACACGCTCGTCAAGAAAAGGCAGATGGTTGAAGAGGGCTGGAGCGGCATCGACGTCCAGCTGAAACGCAGGGCAAACCTCATTCCCAATCTGGTCGAAACCGTCAAGGGTTATGCGGATCACGAGCAGCAAACACTGGACAACGTCACACAGCTGCGGGCTTCGGCTGGTTCCGTGCCGCGCGACGACGTGGCCGGAAGAGCGAAGGCGGAAGGCGCGCTGAGCCAGGCACTCGGTCGCCTCTTTGCAGTTGCCGAGGCTTATCCTGATCTCAAGGCGAGCGAGAATTTCTCCGATCTTCACAAGTCTCTCGACGAGATCGAGAACGCAATTCAGATGGCGCGCAGGTACTACAACGGCGCCGTACGCGGCCTGAACGTTGCGGTAGAGAGCTTTCCTTCCAATCTTGTTGCCTCTCGGTTCAAGTTTGAAAAGGCGGAATATTTCGAGATCGAGGACGAAGCAGACAGGGCCGTACCCAAGGTTCAGTTCTAGGGAGGCGATCGCATGATTTTCCGAAACGCCTTCGCTTGTCTGGTGTTCGCTGTCCTCTGTGTCACAGGCGCGGGAGGCATCGCGGCTGAAGAACGGTTTCATCGTTTTGTCTCCAACATCGATGTCGCCGAAAACGGGCTCTTGACAGTTACTGAAACGATCACGGTTCGCGCTGAAGGCAACAACATCAAGCGGGGAATATTCCGCGATATTCCATTGAAGATCGAAGGTAAGGACGGTCGGACCTACCGCGCCGGATTCCAGCTGCTCTCGGTCCTGCAGGACGGCCGGGACGCAAGTTTCGCTCAAACGTCAAGCCGGGACGGTGTCAGGATTTATATTGGCGAGGAAAACGTCTTCCTTCAGCCGGGCGACTATACCTACACGATCAAGTACCAAACAGACCGGCAGATACGCTTTTTTGCCAATCATGACGAAGTTTACTGGAATGCGACCGGAAACGAGTGGATCTTTCCGGTTGATGAGGCTGTCGCGAGGGTGGTTCTACCGGAGGGAGTAAGGGCACGGGACTGGACGGCATATACCGGCGTGTTCGGCGCCACAGGCAGGAATTATGATGCGCGTGTGGGCGACGATGGTCGTGAGGTCATCTTCACGACCACGAGGCCTCTGGCCGCCTATGAAGGTCTGACAGTCGTGGTCGCGATGTCCAAGGGTTCCATCACGCCGCCAACAGAAGCCGACCAGATCGGTTACTTCTTGAATGACTACCGCTCTGAACTCATCGGCGGCGCAGGCGTGCTGCTGGTCCTGGCGTATTATCTCGTTGCCTGGCTTTTTGTGGGACGCGATCCTGCGAAGGGTGTCGTCTTTCCCAGGTTCAAACCGCCTGCGGGCGTATCTCCGGCACTTTCCAGATACGTTCTGACCCGTGGTTTCGGCGACGGTGGCTGGATTGCGCTGACGGCAGCCAGCCTCAATCTTGCAGTCAGGCATTGCTTGCGGCTGGAAGAGCGTGACGGAGACATGATGCTTGTGCTCGACGACATCGTTGCTGACGAGACCAATGGGCTGCCGAAGGGCGAAGCTGCCCTGGTTGCATTCCTCAAGGATCGAGGCTCGCCGTTGCAGATCTACAAGGGCAATGGCAGTTCGATCAAAACGCTCGGCAGGAAATTCAGAAGCGCGATCGAAGCGGAAAGCCGGAACGTCTTTTTCAGGAACAACCGGTCGTTTCTCGTCCCGGGCGCCATATTGAGTGTCGTTGCAATCATTGCGCTGTTCATATTCGGCCAGATGCCTCCTGATCAGATGGAGTTTGCCTTTCTGTTCATGGTGTTGTCGATCTTCGCCGCGGCTTTCTCAGTGAACATCGGAAAGGCGATTTTTCGAATTTCGAACATGCAGATCCGGATGGCCCTTATCTTTCTGCTGTTCGTATCAGCGATGGTGGTCACCGGGCTTTTTGCGAACAATATTTCCGGCGGCGTGTCTACGCTTCCGATTTTGCCCGTGGTGGCCGCGGCTCTGGTCGCACTGAATGTCCTCTTCTTCTTTCTGCTTGGCGCACCGACCGCACTCGGACGCCAGGTGCTCGATGAAATCGAAGGGCTCAAGCTTTATTTGTCGGTCGCCGAAGAGGAGCGGCTCAACATGTCGGAAGTACCGGACATGAGTACAAGTCATTTTGAGGATCTTCTCCCCTATGCAGTCGCGCTGGGCGTGGAAAAGCCTTGGTCAAAGGCATTCGAGGGGTGGTTGACGACGGCCGCAGGTGCCGCCGTCGCGGCAAGTTACAGTCCCGGCTGGTATGCAGGGCACAGGTTCGAAGCCAGTCGTGTAGCCGACACGCTTGGACAGACGACCAGTTCCATGGCGCAGTCTTTCCAGTCCTCGCTTCCCGTTCCCAAGTCGTCGAGTTCCGGCTTGTCCGGCGGGTCGTCAGGCGGTTCGTCAGGTGGCGGCGGTGGTGGAGGCGGCGGGGGAGGCTGGTAGCAGGCGGCCATTTGCGTCCGCGCAGGAACCCGAACGTCGAGATTGGAAAATTGCCTGCTTGCCGAAGAAGGTGCTCACGCCACGTTGGAAGTATCGGAAAATGAAAGGCTGCCATCGGCCTGATCGTTGAGCAGTTCGGCCGCAGCTTCTGCTGAGACCGCTTTGGCATACAGGAAACCCTGGCCATAGTGACAACCGCTGGAGCTGAGCGCGTCGTGAACCTCACCCTGTTCAACGCCCTCGGCAACCGCGTCGATATCGAGCCCCCTGGAAAGCACGAGTACCGCTTCCACGATGGCGGCACACTGCTTGTCCGTCAGCATGCGCTCGGTAAAGGACTTGTCGATCTTCACCTTCTTGATCGGAAAGTCCCTGAGGTAGCTCAAGGAGGAGTGACCGGCGCCGAAATCGTCAAGCGCGATAGTAATGCCCGCTTTGGTGAGCTCGTTCAAAATGCGTTTTGCAGATTCGGGATTTTTCACCAGCGACGTTTCGGTGATCTCCAGAACCAACCGGTCGGCCGGGTAGCCGGCAGTGTCCAGTATGGTCTGGATCTGCGTCGGCAGAGCCGGGTCCTGCAGCTGAACAGGCGATAGGTTGAACGAAAGATAGAGCTCGTCCGGCCAACTCCTGGCCGCAGAACAGGCCTGGGCAAGAAGGTGACGCGTCAACTCTGAAATGATGCCGCAGTCTTCAGCGATCGGAATAAATTGCATGGGGGGCACGTCGCCGAAATCACTGTCCGACCAGCGGGCAAGCCCTTCGAATCCGGCAATCCGTCCCGTGTCCATGTCGAGAATGGGTTGGTAATGTACCTTCACCTCTTCGTTTTCGATCGCACGACGCAATCTTTGCTCCAGAAGTGTCCTGTGCAGGATGGACGCATCCATATCCACTTCAAAAAAACGATAGGTGGATCTGCCGGAAGATTTCGCCCGGTAAAGAGCGATGTCGGCGCGGCGAAGAAGCTCGGTGATGGCATGTCCATCATGCGGGTAGAGGGCGATACCGATACCGGTGCCGATGGAGATCTGTCTCTCGCCGAATTCGAAACGTTCGCTGATACGGGTCAGGAGGCGCCGCGCGAAGCCCGAAGCTTCCGACTTGTCTTTGAACACGGGCGATATGATTGCGAATTCGTCTCCGCCGAGACGGGCAACAATGCCGTCATTGCCGACAGTTTCGGCCAGGCGCCCGGCAAAGCTGCGCAGCAGGTTGTCGCCGAACGCGTGGCCGTACACATCGTTGATGGGCTTGAAGCCGTCCAGGTCCAGCATCATGATCGCGCGAAAACAATCGTCCTTCACCTCCCGGCTGAGAACCGCAAATGCTTCCAGTAACCGGCGGCGGTTGGGAAGACCGGTCAGCGCATCGTGCTGGGCAAGTGCCAGAGCTTCTGAATGTTGGGAAGATCTGGCACTCAGCTCCTTCCTCAGTCGTCTCGTCGCCCAAATGCCGTAGGTGGTGCCGACAAGCGCGAAGACCATGAAAATGCCCGTCGCAGCGTCGTAGAAAAGATGATTGTTTTCGTCGTGACCGTCTTCCAGCAGGTGGGGAATGAATTTCAGAGCCGCAAAACTCACAATGGCCGCTGCAAAAAGCGCGGCCAGGGGGCGTGCCATCATGAGGCTGCCTGCGGCTACCCGGTTTATCACTATTGCGTCCCGATACTTCATACTGCTTTGACGAACTCAAAGTTTCGCATGTATTTCTTGAAGAAGAGTGAAGCAAGAATGAGAAACATTATTGCTATTTATGCGGAGGTGCCGGGCAATCGTGACACCGGAAAAAGGGTGACAAGAGGCTGCTGAATTGCTAACGGACGCACATCTGTTTCCGGAAATACCCTACCAAGACCGAAGGCCACAGTTCCCATGCCCGATCTTCTGCTTGAGCTGTTCAGCGAAGAAATTCCGGCCCGTATGCAACGCAAGGCGGCCGATGAACTGAAATCCCTTGTGACCAATGCTTTGGTGGACTCGGGCCTGCCATATGAGGGCGCCAAGGCGTTTGCGACACCACGTCGCCTGGCACTTCATGTCGCCGGAGTGCCTGCCGGGTCGGCGGCCAAACGAGAGGAACGCAAGGGACCGCGTGTTGGCGCGCCGGAAAAGGCCGTCGAGGGATTTCTGCGCGGTGCGGGACTTGCCTCGATTGAAGACGCAACTATCCGCAACGATCCGAAGAAGGGCGATTTTTATGTCGCCGTGATTGAAAAACCGGGCCGTTCCGCCATCGACATCATTGCCGAGTTCATGCCGGGAATTCTGCGCGGGTTCCCCTGGCCGAAATCCATGCGATGGGGCACGACGCCGACCCGCTGGGTCCGTCCACTGCATTCGATCGTTGCGACCTTCGGGCCGGAAACGGAAGAACCCGACGTTGTGCCGTTTGAGTTCGACGGTATCGCATCGGGTCAGACGACAAGAGGCCATCGTTTCCTCGCGGATGAAGCGTTTGATGTGCGCCGCTTCGATGATTATGCGACAGGGCTGGAAAAGCACAAGGTTGTGCTGGACTCGGACCGGCGCAAGGAAATCATCCTGAACGACGCCAAGGATCGTGCGCTGGCTCTTGGTCTGGACCTGGTTGAGGATCCCGGCCTGTTGGATGAAGTCGCCGGCCTCGTTGAGTGGCCTGTGGTACTGACCGGCAGCTTCGACGAGGCATTTCTGGAAATTCCGGATGAGTGCATTCAGCTCACCATCCGCGTCAACCAGAAGTGTTTTGTTCTGAAGAACCCGACAACCGGGCGTCTTGCCAACAGATTCGTTCTTGTTTCAAACATTCAGGCCGTTGACGGTGGCAAGCTGATCGTCGCCGGCAATGAAAAGGTGATCCGGGCGCGCCTCGCCGATGCCCGCTTCTTCTGGGATACGGACCTGAAGTCAAGCCTGTCTGACAATCTGCCCAGGCTTGATGATGTGAAATTCCATGAAAAGCTCGGCAGTGTCGGAGCCCGTGTAAAGCGCCTTGTTTCTCTGTCCGCCGAACTCGCGCCGATAGTCGGTGCCGATGCGTTGAAGGCCAGGCGGGCAGCCGAACTTGCCAAGGCGGACCTTGTGTCCAACATGGTTTTCGAATTCCCGGAACTTCAGGGCCTCATGGGCCGGTACTATGCGACCGCGCAAGGCGAGGACGCTTCTGTCGCAATCGCAATTGAAGAGCACTACAAGCCACAGGGTCCAAGCGATAACGTACCGACCGATCCGGTAGCAGTCAGTGTCGCACTTGCTGAAAAGCTGGACCTGCTGGCTGGCTTTTGGGCCATTGATGAGAAACCGACCGGATCAAAAGATCCATACGCGCTCCGTCGCGCTGCACTCGGGGTAATCCGGATCGTGCTGGACAATAGCCACAGGATAAGGCTGGGCGATGCGGTTCGTTCGGCGTTGGGCTTGATTGATGTCGACGTGGCTGATGAGGATGCGCTTGTCGGCGACCTGCTTTCCTTCTTCGGCGATCGGTTGAAGGTGCACCTGAAGGATGAGGGTGCACGCCACGATCTGATCGATGCCGTCTTTGCGCTGGACGGGCAGGATGATCTTCTGATGGTCGTCAAGCGTGTCGAAGCGCTCGGCAGCTTCGTATCCTCCGACGATGGAGCCAACCTGCTCGCAGGTTACAAGCGTGCGGTCAACATTCTGAAGGCCGAGGAAAAGAAGGATGGCGTGCCGGTGACCGGCAGGCCGCATTCCGATCACTTCCAAGAACAGGCAGAGATAGACCTTGCTGCCGCGATCGATGCTGCACGGGCCGAGGCCGCCGAGGCCGTTGCCGGTGAAAACTTCGAGGGCGCCATGGAGGCCCTCTCGAAACTCAGGGCTCCGGTTGACAAGTTCTTTGAAGACATTCTCGTCAATGCCGAGGAGCCCGCACTCCGGATGAACCGATTGCAGCTTCTGGCGGAGATACGTGATGCGACCCATGTCGTAGCCGATTTTTCCAGGGTGGCCGGATAATTCCGGTGTCGCAAGTGTCAGCAGAAGCATTGGATCAGCGAAGGAGATTGCAGTGCCGATAGAGGTACGGTCCGCTTTGCCGCGTGATGCAGAGGCAATGGCCGAATTGCTCAACCGGATTATTTTGGCTGGCGGCACAACTGCCTACCGCCAGCCGTTTGACGGCGCGGGGATCGTGAGCGAGTTCATTGAGCCGAAACTTGGAATTTGCTGCCACATTGCATCCGACGAACTGGGCATTTGCGGGTTTCAGGCGCTCTTGTGGTGCGACCCGGATTGGACCGGCCCGGACAAGTTGCCGTCGGACTGGGCTGTGATCGCGACGTATGTAGATCCGGACAGGCATGGAAAAGGGGTTGGACGTGCACTTTTTGGCTGCACCTCTGTTGCCGCCAAAAACGCCGGCGTGAGCTACATCGACGCAACGATCCGCAGGGAAAACACCGGCGGGCTCGGCTATTATTCGAGGATGGGTTTCGTTGATTATCGTTCGGGTAGCGAGAGTGTCTCAAAACGCTTTGCCCTAGTGTAGACGCAATCTTCCGCTGGTCGCATTTTTGTTCGGAAGGTTACTCCGGTATTGAGTTTCGGCGGGGCCGTTTGCCGCAGATGACCCCGGACAACCGATCCAAGAGAAGGACAGAAGCGTCGGCGAGTCGGTAGCGGTCTTGCCAAAATGCAACGTAAGCGCGTTAAAATCGGCTCAATGCAAAGATTTGTTGCCTAACTTCACATTCCGGCATTGCAAGCGGTCCCCAACCGTCTATGTAGAAGACTGAAATCATAAGAAGCAGCTATATGTGTGAACAAACCAATGCCGCTGGCGCTGAGCCGGAAATTCGAGCGCCACGAGATTGGGTTGCGATTCTTGCAAACTACCGTGAACCCAGCACGCTACGCAGTTCATTTGAACTCTTGGTCACGGCAGGACCTTTCATTCTTCTGTGGATCCTGGCCTGGTTGTCGCTGGATGTCAGCTACTGGCTGACGGCGGCCATTGCCATGGTCAATGCAGCATTTCTTGTACGCCTTTTTGCGATCCAGCATGATTGCGGGCACGGGTCGTTTTTCAAGAACCGTACCGTCAGTGACTGGCTTGGCCGGGTCATCGGGGTTCTGACATTGACGCCGTATGATGTCTGGCGGCGGTCACATGCCATGCACCACAGTTCTTCGGGCAACCTTGGGCGGCGCGGCATGGGGGATATTCATACCCTGACCGTTGCGGAATACAGCGCACTGACACCCCGCAGCCGTTTTAAGTACCGCGTCTATCGGTCACCATTCGTTTTGTTTGGCCTTGGCCCGGCCTATACGTTCTTTCTGGAGAACCGTCTTCCCTTCGGTTTCATGGCCAACGCGAAATTCTGGCTCTATGCCATGACAACCAACGCCGCGATCTTTGTCGGCCTTGCACTAATTCTGGTGTTCGGTGGCTGGATGCCGATCCTGCTGATCTTTTTGCCAACGACCATTCTTGCTGCGACGGTCGGCGTATGGCTGTTTTATGTGCAGCATCAATTCGAAACGACACATTGGGACACGGAAGAAGACTGGCAGCTGCATGATGCAGCGCTGTTCGGAAGTTCCCACTATGTGTTGCCGCCCGTGCTGCAATGGTCAGTTGCCAATATCGGCATCCACCATGTCCATCACCTCAACAGCCGGATCCCCTTCTATCGGCTGCCGGAAGTTCTTCGGGATCACAAGGATCTGGCAGACCGCAATTGCATGACGATCCGTCAGAGCATTGCCAGTATCCGTCTCCATCTTTGGGATGAAAAGTCCAGACGGTTGCTGTCGTTTTCCCAGGCAAAGCCGCTGCTTCACTCGGCCGGTTGATTTAACAGGTCTTTGATTTCCGACGCGCACCGCTGATCTATCGGTGCGGGACATTTATGGCACGTTGCGTTTCACTCCGCAGCCTGTTGAGCCAGTCTGGGCACCGGTCTTTCCTCAATTGGCCAGTGAATGATTGCGGCCAGAATTCCCAGCACGATGGCGCACCACCAGATGGCGTCGTACGAACCTGTTTCGTCGTAGAGTTTGCCGCCCAGCCAGACACCGAGAAATGCCCCGATCTGATGCGACAGGAACACGAATCCGAAAAGTGTAGCCATGTAGCGGGGCCCGAACATGACCGCCACGAGGCCGGATGTCAGTGGAATGGTCGAGAGCCACAACAACCCCATCACGGCTGAAAAAACCAGGACGGAAGCCGGCGTAATCGGCAACATGATGAACGCGAAGATTGCGATGGCCCGTCCAAGATAAATAAGGGACAGCAGGATCGGTTTGGAATGCTGCCCGCCAGCATAACCCGATGCGAGGGAGCCGACGATGTTGAAGAGGCCGATAAATGCCAGCGCCCAGCCCCCGAGCGCAGTTCCCAGCCCGAGATCGGCGATGTATGGCGGCAAGTGCACGGTAATGAATGCGACGTGAAAACCGCAGACGAAAAATCCGGTTGTCAGCAGGATGAAGCCTCGCGTTCCGAATGCTTCCGCGACGGCGTCCGTGAGTTTCTGATCGCCGGCAGTACCGCTTGCCGCCGATTGTTCCGGTTTTCCCCTCAGCGCCACCGCCAGGAGAGGAAGGGTTGCAATGAGTCCGGTGAAAACGAGTAGCGTGGTTTGCCATCCGATGCTTTCGATAAGCGCAGCACCTAGCGGGTTGAACAGGAACTGACCGAGCGAACCAGAGGCGGTGCCGATGCCGAACGCAAGAGACCGCTGTTCGGGAGAGACGGTTCGTCCGAAGGCTGCCAGCACAAGCGAGAAGGATGAAAAGGCTATTCCGAGTCCGATCAGAACACCTGCGGACAAATGCAGTGCAAGGGCGCTCTGCGCATCGATCATCATGAGAAGTCCGGCCGCGTAGAGTACTGCACCAAGGGCCATTGATTTCCATGTGCCGAAGCGGTCTGCCATCATGCCCGAGACCGGCTGACCTATGCCCCAAACCAGGTTTTGAATGGCAATCGCCAGCGCGAAGACTTCGCGGCTCCAGCCCTGCGCCTCGGTCATTGGCAGGAAAAACAGTCCCATGGCGGAGCGTGGTCCGAACGAGATCATGGCAATCAGGCAACCACAGACAATCACCAGCGGTATGTTCGGTCTCGAGAGGGCCCTGGTTTGAGCTGCTGTCATCGGATGCCTCGTTTTTGGTTGATAAAGAAATAGCGGCATACGCAAATTGGTAAAACGCGAAATTTTGATCGATGGATCACAAAATGGAATGCATGATCGCAGTGGTGTGCGCACATGCTGCAGCTGAGCGCACAAAGATTAGCCAGCTAGGATCAGGTCGAAAAAAAGCAGCGCCCAAGCCTATGAAATCAAAAAGCAAAATCTGAAAAACAAAAAAATGGCGCGAAAGTGATGGATTTTTTGTCGTGATCCGCTTATATAAACTCTGAAAGAGCAAAAGGTCAGGGCCGTTGGGCCTGTTTTCTTTTGCATTTGATTTGCTCAAGTTGAGTATAAATAATCTGTGAGCTGAAACACCGGTTTCAGCCTGCTTACAGGAGGGGCGCCATGACCGTTGCCCAGACAGCCTATTCGGTATCCGAACCCATCACGACTGGTCTGACAGCGCTGGAACGCTTCGGACATGTGGAGCGTCCGGACTTGCGCTACACGCCCGAAATAGCCGAAGCGACGGCGCCGATCTTCGAGAAGGTCAAGCACTTCATCCCGGCCATCGAATGGGCCGCGCTCGCACCGACGATCCATGCGATCAACAAGCTGAAAAAAGAGCGCAACGCGGTGATTCTCGCGCATAACTACATGACGCCGGACATCTATCACGGTGTTGCCGACATTTTCGGTGACAGCCTTCAACTCGCCATCGAGGCGACCCGAACGGATGCGGAGGTTATCGTCCAGTGCGGTGTGCATTTCATGGCGGAAACCTCGAAGATTCTCAGCCCTGAAAAGACGGTTCTGATCCCTGACATGCGAGCCGGTTGTTCTCTGGCGGAATCCATCACCGGAGCGGACGTTCGCGCCCTGCGGGAACGCAATCCCGGCGTTCCGATCATCACCTATGTCAACACATCGGCCGAGGTGAAAGCCGAATGTGATATCTGCTGTACGTCTTCCAACGCCTTGCAGGTGGTCGAAAGTTTCGGCGTTGACAGGGTTTTCCTTGTTCCGGACAAGTATCTGGCTGCCAATGTCGGCAAGAAAACAGATGTCGAAGTCCTGGTCTGGGACGGTGCCTGTGAGGTTCATGAGCGCTTCACCGCCGAAGAACTTCGCGACTATCGCAGGATCGAGCCTGATGTGAAAATCATCGCTCATCCGGAATGCCCGCCGGAAGTTGTTGCCGAAGCCGACTTTGCCGGCTCGACCGCTCATATGATCGACTGGGTCAAGACAAGGCGGCCGGAAAAGGTGATGATGGTCACCGAATGTTCGATGGCGGACAATATCGCCAGCGAGACCCCCGATGTGAACTACATCCGGCCGTGCAACCTGTGTCCGCACATGAAACGCATCACGCTTGGCAAGATTCTCGACAGCCTTGTCGAGATGAAAGAGGAAGTTGTGGTCGATCCGGTAGTCGCAGATCGCGCACGCACGGCGGTTGAACGGATGATCAACTTGAAAATCTGACCGTCTTCGGTCTAAACCGCACGAAGCATGCTTCCGGACCCGGGACTCTTCCTGGTCCGGAGGTTTTTCGGGCAATGCCCAATCTGTTCCAGGAAGATTCCAATGGCCGTGTCGGTTGATGATTTTGCACCTGACTATATCGGCAAGGATGTGGATGATGTCGTCATCTTGGGAGGCGGGCTAGCCGGCCTTTTCTGCGCGCTCAAACTCAGCCCCAGACCCGTTACTGTCATTACCAATGCTCCGATCGGACAGGGGGCATCTTCCGCCTGGGCTCAGGGCGGTATTGCGGCGGCCATATCGGAACAGGATTCGGTAGAAGAGCACAGGGATGACACGCTGGCCGCCGGCGGTGGTATTTGCGAGCCCAAGATCGTCGACCAGATGACCCGTGAAGGAAGCGACCGGGTTCACGACCTCCTGTCCTATGGCGTTCCATTCGACCAGGACCTGGAAGGTCGCCTGCAGCTTTCCCGCGAGGCGGCTCATTCGCAAAGCCGTGTCGTGCGCGTTCGTGGCGACATGGCTGGCAAGGCCATCATGGATGCGTTGACGACAGCCGTGCGGAACACACCTTCGATCCGTGTGCTGGAAGGATACATCGGCGAAAGTTTTCTGGGTGAAGGCCGCTATGTCACCGGCGTTCTCGTCCGTCGCCGGGGCGGTATTTCGCGTCTTGCCTTTCCGGCCAAGGCAGTTGTTCTCGCCTCCGGTGGGGTTGGCCATCTATACGGCTTGACCACGAACCCGCACGAGGCCAACGGTCATGGACTGGCGATGGCTGCTCGGGCAGGCGCCGTGATTGCCGATGCAGAATTCGTTCAGTTCCACCCGACCGCACTGGATGTCGGCAAGGATCCGGCACCATTGGCAACCGAAGCCCTGCGTGGCGAGGGCGCGCTTCTTGTCGACAAGGCCGGAAACCGCTTCATGGAAGGGGTACATCGGGATATGGAGCTTGCGCCACGCGACATAGTTGCCCGGGCGATCCACGGGCAAATCCTGGAAGGCCGCGGTGCGTATCTCGACTGCAGGGAAGCCATCGGTTCGAACTTCAGGGAAGAGTTTCCGACAGTCCATGCGGCAGTAAGTGCGGCGGGCATCGATCCGGAAAAGGATCTCATACCGGTTGCGCCGGCGGAACATTATCACATGGGCGGCGTCTTGACGGATGCGAACGGCCGGACCTCCCTCGACGGTCTTTGGGCCGCGGGAGAAGTGGCCTCGACCGGCGCCCACGGAGCGAACCGGCTCGCGTCAAACTCACTTCTGGAGGCGGTTGTTTTCGCAGCGCGCATTGCCGAGGACATACAGGGCCTCATGCCAACGCCGCGCAGCGCGTTTTGGGACAAGATGGACGATGCCCCGGGACTGCCAAGCCAGCGAAACGTTGAAGAACGAGACGCCATCAGCGTTCTCAGAACAACTTTGTCGAACAACGTCGGTGTGTTGCGCGATGCAGCCGGTCTCAGAACGGCACTGGCCGATATTGCCAATGCGGAAAAGATCTGCGTCCGGCGATCGATCAAGAACATGATGGTTTCAGGCAAGATCATTGCCGCGGCGGCATTGAAGCGCGAGGAAAGCCGTGGTGGCCACTTTCGCAAGGACTTCCCGCAGGAAAACCCGGCTATGGCCAAAAGATCTTATACCAGTCTGGAAGAGGTCGAGGCGATTTCAGCCGAGGCACTTGAGACGGCTTGAGCGGAATCGAGTAAATGAGCGATAGACTTCTTGCCGAGTTGCCACAGCTGATGGTGGATGAAACGGTCAAAGCTGCACTTCTGGAGGACTGGGGCCGTGCCGGTGATATCACCAGCCAGGCAACCTTGCCCAAGCATGCACGTGCACGCGCCGTCATCGCCGCGCGCAAACCTGGTGTTCTGGCCGGACTGGGATTTGCCGAAAGTGCTTGCCGCCAAACCGATGCAACACTTTCCTTCTTGCCTCTCAAGCAGGATGGAGAGCGCCTCGCCCCGAACGATCAGGTTGCCAGGATCGAAGGACCGGCGCGGGCTTTGCTTTCTGCCGAACGCGTTGCGCTGAATTTCCTGGGACATTTGTCGGGCATCGCCACTGCAACGTCACGCTTTGCAGATCAGATTGCGCATACCAAGGCGAAAATTGTCTGTACGCGCAAGACCACGCCGGGTTTGAGGGCGTTCGAGAAATATGCGGTCAAATGTGGTGGCGGCGCCAACCACCGGTTTGGTCTTGATGACGCGATCCTGATCAAGGACAATCATATTGCGGTTGCCGGCGGTGTTTCAAAGGCCATCGATGCGGCCAGGGCATTTGCCGGACATCTGGTGAAGATCGAGGTGGAAGTCGATACGCTCGACCAGCTTCGCGAAGCACTTCAAGCTGGGCCGGATGTGGTGATGCTCGACAACATGAGCCCTGAAACGCTTCAACGCGCCGTCGAGATTGCAGCCGGCAAGGTCATTTTGGAAGCGTCCGGTGGCATTGAGCTGGATACGGTCAAGGCCGTGGCAGAAGCAGGTGTGGATCTGATTTCATCAGGTTGGATCACCCATTCTTCCCCCGTACTGGATCTCGGGCTCGATATCGAGATCGCCTGACCTCGTACCGTGTAGCGGGACCTCGACTTATCTGCGGAAGTGCGTCAGTCTGAGCCGGGAACCAACTGAACCTCCATGAACTGTCAAGGTGAAGGCGGATGGCTTTCTGTGACAGCAAATAGGCATCACGGCGACGCGCTTTGGAACAATCTCAGGACGGCAACCCGGCGAAACCGGACCAGTATCTGGACGCAGGCAGATCTGATGCCACGACGGTGGATGTTTGTTTCCTTCTTTTGAATAGTTTTTCCCTGCTGTCCTTTGCATCCGCGATTGAACCGCTGCGTATCGCTAACAAGGTTCTGAAACGCAAGTCGTTCAACTACAGATGCTGCACGGTTGACGGTCTTGATGCAATCGCAAGCAATGGCAGTGTCATGCGAGCTGATTGTGCACTGGAGGAAATTGCCAGGGCTGATCTGGTTGCAGTCTGCAGCAGCGATGACGTTGAACGTGTTGAATTGACGGCAAGACAAAAGGCGCTGATCCGGCAGCTTGCCTTGCGGGTCAACCGTGTCGCGGGCATTTGTACCGGTGCCTACGTTCTGGCTGATCTCGGGTTGCTGGACGGCCGGGCGTGTACCATTCACTGGGAATACGCCGATCTGTTCCGGGAAATGTTCCCAAGGACCGACCTGGTTGACAACCTCATTCAGGCCGATGGCCGGTTCCTGACATGCGCGGGCGGCACTGCCGCAATCGATCTCATGGTCGGCTTTATTGCGGAAGTGCACGGGAGCACGGTTGCCGGTGACGTTGCGGACATAGCGCTGCACCATGACATGAGGTCGGGCGAGGAGCGGCAGCATACGGTAATGCGCGACGATCTGGAGATGGTGCCGAAAAAACTGCGCGTTTGCATCGAACTGATGACCGAACATGTCAGCGAACCACTGTCACTTCAGGAAATTGCCAACCGGCTCGGTGCGAGCCCGCGCCAGCTTCAGCGTGATTTCCACAAATACCTGAATTGCACCCCGCTCGATTATTACAGCAAGATCCGCATCGACATCGCACGTCAACTGGTGTGCCGCACGTCGATGCGCATAATCGATATCGGTGTTGCCTGTGGATTTTCCAGCGGCTCTCATTTTTCAAAACGTTACCGTGCAGCGCATGGCCTGAGCCCGGCGCAGGACAGAGAGCTCCGGAGCCGGAAGCTGGAACGCTGAGACAACGGACGCATTGCACATGGCGCCTTCAGTCATATTGCCGACAACATCAGTCAACAGGACTTGAGCATTGCCGATCTTCGATGGATCGGGATGTTGGCTGGAAAAACCTTTCGAGCGAGTTCCATCGGACATGCAAATGACCGCCGAACTGGTCGCAAGTGGTTCCTTCCGATCAGTTTTTGCCTTAGCGTCGGCTCAAACATTCTGGAAAGGGAGCATTGGGACACCGTAATGAGCGATCAGAATCCAGATGCTGGAAAGTCGGATGAATTCGACGTGGCGCATCGGCTGACCCGATTGGCGCAGATTCCGATGCTGATCGGCCTTTCGGTCGGCATGGTCCTTTTTCTGATTACGTTTTTCGTTGATATCTACGACGCGGTCGCCACCTACGAGTTTCTGGACCGCAAGAAGACGATCCTGCTGATCCTCAACCTGCTGGACATGGTTTTCATCGCCAATCTGGTGGTGATGGTGGCCAACAACACCTACAACACCTTCCGTCTGAAATCTTCCGCCCACGGCGAAGGGTTCATCAAGGAAAGCGAAAGGGCTTATCGACGGATGAAGCATCGGATCGTGTCGACGATCGTCATCATCTCGTCGATCCATGTTCTCAGCGAACTTTTGGAGTTTTCGCAAGTCAATGCGTTGCAGGTCGCCGCCCTGTTCGGGTTCCACCTGATCCTGCTGGCGACCTATGTGGTCACAAACGTTTTCAGGACCAGCGATTGAACCGTCAGGAAATCCTGATCAGTTCCAGCCGCCTGCATAGGTCTTGTAAAAGATGTGCAAACCGACCTGGCCACGCTTGGCCATCGATTTGGCCCAACGCGGATTGACGTAGGTTGCGTGGTAGTGCGTCGAGGCATCGACCATCTTCAGATACTGTTTTCCGTCCAGAACGTCTCTGGCGAGACGTTTCGCCGTCTTCCAGGCATCCTTGCTGGAAATCCGGTCCTTGATGCCGTCGCAGGCAAAGGAGAACTGGCAGCGATTGCGCTTGTGCTTGTTCTGGTAGACGACACCGCAGATTGACTTCGGATAAGACGGGTTCTTCACCCGATTGAGAACCACCTGCGCGACGGCAACCTGGCCTTCTTCGCTTTCACCGCGTGCTTCGAAATAGATGGCTTCGGCCAGACAACGCTGTTCCTTCTTCGTGCCGACGGAAAGTGGCAGTGGCTTTTGCGCCCACCAGTGCGGATTGTCCGGATCTTCAGGGGGCGGCAGTTCCTGTTCGTATTTCGCCGCACCGAAAAGAGCGTCGAAGGGCTCCTTCGTTTCCTTGACGCTTTCGGGTGCATAGGCGGATACGAGTGAAAAACTCGCTGCTGCCGCGTTTCGCGCCATCATCACCTTCTGCAGGTCGAGCGGACCACCTTCAAGAAGACCGTTCTTGCCCGCCTCCGCGAGACGTGTGGTTTCCTTTGAATCGAGCGGTTGAGGCTTGACGAAGGCAACACGCGGCAGATCTTCATGCTTCTTCTCGGTGGAGATCATGCTGGACATGGCGTAAACGTTGCCTGACGCCCCGTCGACCATGTGCCGGTCCGGAGCAATGGTGATGAGGCGGTCGCCTTTTGCCGATGTGTTGGTCAGGATCGTGTCGGGTACGGTTGTCGGTCGAGCGCTTGCAAAGACGTCCTCAAGGCCATAAAGCGGGCGGGCTTCGACACCTCGCTCAGCCGAGGTCAGCGTCAGGATCGGTGCGCTCGTGTAGTCGGGAATTGCCGGAGTGCCAAGTGCGAGCTTTGGAGCGACCCTCGTGGCGAAATTTGCCGGTTCAAGCGCCATCATCCAGCGCGGTGACTGGTCTTTCCTTGCGTTGATCAGTGCAAAGATGTCCTGCTCGCCGATGGAGCCGCCAAGCATGAAAAACAGCACGGGGCTTGTCGCCAGAGCGATTTTCATTCGGCGCAAGCGTGTGCGAGCCGAGCTCTTGTTCTGTGAAACTGCAGAAAAAAACCGCTTTCCGTGGCGGGATAAAGGGCCAAACATACGCAGCCAACTCCAACTCGTTGCACACCGTCCCGGAAGCCGGACGATCAGCGCTAACGTTGTGTGAACAACAACGCCGGAATTGAGAATGTCCGCTTAACCTTGAAAGAGCGTTAATGCGAGATGATTTGACCGGTATTCGCGGATTTTTTTCTAGCGCAAGGGGAATTATGGTTAACGCAACAAAGTTTTAACGATACCTCACAGGTCGGTTACTGGAGGATATTCTTAATAAAAGTCTAACGCCCGCCGACCCTCAGACCCGGCGCCGGACGCTCGCTCATGAGTTGATGGCGGAACCTGAATAGCGCTGCCGGACGTCCACCCGTGGCAGTCGACGTGGCACCGGTTGGCTCTACAAGATCGGCGTTTTCGACCAACCTTCGAAAGTTCTGCTTGTGAAGGTGACGGCCCGATATTGCTTCGACGGAAGTCTGCAGTTCCGTCAGCGTGAACACTTCAGGCATCAGTTCGAAGATTACCGGCCGGTATTTCAGTTTCCCGCGCAAACGGGAAATGGCTGTCGCCAGCACCCGCCTGTGGTCGAAACGCATGGACACACCCAGAAAGGGCAGGGTGTCTCTTGCGAGCGCAGCCGGACGGCCGTCCCGTTTGGCTTCGCGAAGCAGGCCTGCTTCGTAAAGCAATTCGAAACGCTCCAGTGCCCTTTCCTCGTCCCAGTGCGTGGCATCCGTGCCAAAGGCCAGACGAACACGTTCCTGACGCGCGAGCGGTCTCGGGGGTTCGCCCTCCATCGGCGGCTCGCTCGCCCAGGTTTCAAGGGCAGGAAGAATGTCCCTGTCCAGAAGGAAGGGCCGCCCGCTGCGCCAGTCTTCCCAGGGAAAATAGTCGTACCATGAGCGCCAGGCCGAATTGTGCCGGGCAAGCGTGTTTTCGGAGCCTGCCGTTTGGCGGGTGAGCGCCAGATAGCCGACAGAGACCACATGGGGTCCCTCGTCTCCGGTGACCCGGTGGCGACCACGGTCCCCGAAGGTATAGAGTTGCTCGACATATCCCAGGCTGAGCGCAGTCTGGTTTTCCACCCAGCTTCTGAGGCCGATTTCGAATGTCCGGTGATGGATGGGGTCAAAGGGGCCGAAGGGCAGGCTGTCGAGGTCCGCCTCCTTCTCGTCGTTGACGTGCACAATCTGAGGCGTTCCGTCCGAAACCGAAACGATGACCGCGTTCAAACCGATCTCAATACTGGCGTGCCTGTGTGGCATGAAGCTCCCCGGTCGGTCTAGTCGATCGGCATTATGAATGGAGTGCCTTCGAATGCATTGGCACCTCGGCCGATACCCCGAATGGCATCAATCATGCGGCCATCCCGTCCGAGCAACTTGTCCGCCATGGCGATAATGCGCGCGTTCGGCGTTGCGGAAGGTGACGTTTCGCGCAGCGCCGACGCCAACCTGTATTCGTCCGCTTCGGAGTTGAGGGCACACGCAGCCACATAGGCGCCGGCTGTCGAGCGGCTGATTCCGGCCCAGCAATGGATGACCATGGGGGCTTTCCTGTCCCATTCCCTGACGAAGGCGAGCAGATCTTCAACATGCTGTTCGTTCGGTGGTGTCAGCAGGGCAACCTGTTCAACGATATCATTGAAAGCCAGGAAGAGGTGACGGTCCGGGGAGACCCCTGCGGGCGTTGGTACGTCCATCTCCGCATTGATAAGGGTGACGACGGACCTCGCGCCTGTTTCGGCGACTGTTTCGTTCAGTTTTGATAGTGAGCACACGTGCAGCATGGCAGAACCGGGTTATTTGTTTCTGCCTTTAAGGTAGGGTTATTCGCCCTTCAGGTCACGCGTTTGCGCGCTCACCACTCGGTTTGTTCCCAGCTTCGCGCAGTTTTTCTATTTCATGAAACCGTTCCAGGAACTTCTCTTGAGCCTGTGCCACCGGCAAAGGCTCCAGCCCATACTGCAGACGGTTGTCCTTCCCGTGTGCAAAAGCCCTGGGACGCCCGAAGATCCTGGCGGCTTCCTCCTCATCAAATCCGGCAAGTTCCACGGCTTCGAAATAAGCGGAGATAATGTCGGCGCGTTTTGCCAGCTTCTTGACGGTTTGCGGAATTTCGGCCGGCAGGCCGAAACGAAGATGAATTGCCGCCTGAAGGCGTGTCTCCACCGCTTTGTAGGCTTCGCCGATAACCGCCTTGAACGGCGATATCATGTCACCGATCACGTATTCCGGGGCATCGTGAAGCAGAACGGCCTGACGCCAGTGAGGCGGTAGGTCGGGTTTCAGCTTCAGCGCGATGTCCTCGACGACCAGACAGTGCTCGGCCACCGAAAAGGCATGGTCACCGTTGGTTTGGCCATTCCAGCGCGCCACACGGGCAAGCCCGTGAGCAATATCTGAAATTTCGACATCCAGCGGTGAGGGGTCGAGCAGGTTGAGGCGTCGACCGGACAACATGCGCTGCCAGGCGCGGGGAGGCTGATCGGGACGGGCTGTGGGCATCGGTCCTGGGGTGCGAATGGCGGTTTCAGTTTGCGGTGCTCCGTTCTGGCCAGGAAAAGGATGCCCAATCTGGGATCCTGACCTGCACCTTCGCGACACCGCATTGAAGTGGGGTGCCGTTGTCCTTGGCTTGCGCCGCCTTGTCAAGACGAACCAGCGCAAGACCGATCTGACCTGTGCTCGAACCCAGTTCACCGATCGATTTGCCACCGGAGGTGACGGGTGTTCCCTTTTCCGGCAGCTTGTCCGAGCTTTCTACCAGCACAAACCGCTTGCGGGATGTCCCCCTGTGGTGGACGCGCGAGACGACTTCCTGCCCGACATAACAACCCTTGGTGAAGGAAACGCCACCGAGTTGGTCAAGGTCCGCATCATGCGGAAAGATATCGGAATAATCGAAATCCTTGAGCCCTTCGGGAACACCAAGGGCGATTCGGTGAAAATCGTAGTCCTCCAGGCTTGCGGCTTCGGCAGTATTTTCCGCCAGCAGGGACCTGACCTTACCGACAACACGTTCTCCGAGCGCCGGTACTCGCGGGTCTGTCACCGCCAGCAACGCAGTTTCAAATACAGCCGTTCCATTCCAGACGGCAATCACGCCGAGATCTTCATCCATGTATTCCAGATCGACCTTGGCACGAAGTCTGTAGAACGTCAGGCGTTTCAACAGGTCGGGTGCCGTCTCAAGAGGTGCATCCAGCAGGTAGCCGTCTGCTGTCTTGTAAATCAGAAAATCGAACAGGATTTTGCCCTGAGGTGTCAACAAGGCACCTGCACAGGCGCCGTTCTCGTCGGTTTTCTCGATATCGGCCGTCACGAGGTTTTGCAGGAAATGATGTGCGTCGTCACCGGCAACCCGGATCAGGGCACGGTCGGTCAGGTGGGTTATCTTGGCGGACGGCACGGCGCGCTCCTGATAGGGTTACGTGAATGAAGCTATGGTCTCTTCGGCGAAATAAGTGTTTTGATGGAGCGCGGCAAGGGCGGGATTACGCAAACCGGATCTGGTCCTTTTGACAGCGCGCGCGTATAAGCCCGATTAGACGACACACCGCAGACGAATTCACCGACGGAGGAAACCCGATGAGCGAGACCTATGACCTGATCCTGAAAGGTGGCACGGTCGTCAATCAGGACGGTGAGGGCATTCGCGATGTCGGTATGAGAAATGGGCGGATTGCCGGGATCGGATCCTTCGATGCTTCGCAGTCCGGCGATGTGATCGACTGCACGGGATTGCATGTCCTTCCGGGGGTAATGGATACTCAGGTGCATTTCCGCGAACCGGGGCTGGACCACAAGGAAGACCTTGAATCGGGATCCCGCGCCGCAGTCATGGGCGGCGTGACGGCAGTGTTCGAAATGCCCAATACCAATCCCTTGACGACGAACGAGGAAGCATTGGCCGACAAGGTCAGGCGTGGGCACCACCGAATGCATTGTGATTTCGCCTTCTGGGTTGGTGGGACCCGGGAGAGCGTAAAGGACATACCGGATCTGGAACGTCTGCCTGCCGCTGCCGGCATCAAGGTGTTCATGGGTTCCTCCACGGGTGATCTGCTGGTGGAAGATGACGACGGTGTAAGGGACATCCTGTCGGTGACCCGCCGCCGAGCAGCATTTCACTCCGAAGACGAGTTCCGCCTGCGCGAGCGTCAGGGAGAGCGGGTCGAGGGGGATCCGAGTTCGCACCCGATCTGGCGCGACGAGATTGCTGCCCTTCAATGTACGCAGCGTCTTGTTGGTATTGCTCGTGAAACCGGTGCAAAGATCCATATTCTGCATCTTTCCACTGCAGAAGAAGTCGACTACCTGATCGATCACAAGGATGTGGCATCGATCGAGGTGACACCGCACCATCTGACCCTGACGGACGAGGCCTATCACCGTCTCGGAACGCTGGTGCAAATGAACCCGCCTGTACGCGCACCACGTCATTCCGAGCGGCTTTGGTGGGCATTGAAGCAAGGTGTTCTGGATATTTTCGGGTCAGACCACGCCCCCCATCTATTGGAAGAAAAACAGAAAACCTATCCGGCTTCGCCGTCGGGGATGACGGGTGTGCAGACGCTCGTTCCGATCATGCTGGATCACGTCAGCAAGGGTCGCCTGAGCCTGGCGAGGTTTGTCGACATGACAAGCGCGGGTCCGGCACGCCTCTTTCAGACGGCACGCAAGGGTCGGATCGCGGTCGGCTACGACGCCGACTTCACGGTGGTCGACCTCAAGCGCACGGAAACCATCGGGAATGACTGGATCGCATCCAAATGCGGCTGGACGCCCTATGACGGCAAGGAGGTCACCGGTTGGCCTGTCGGCACGATGGTTCGCGGCGAGCGCGTGATGTGGGAAGGTGAATTGTCGGTACCGTCCAGGGGGGAAGCCGTCGTTTTTCAGGACGGGATCAGGAAGTAGGGTCCTTTTCGGCGACACTGATTGAAAATATCGCGAAATTCGGGGCTCTTTCCGCCAAGATGGACCGGATCACGCGCAGTTTTGAAAACCATCCGTACAATTTGTGATGTGAATAACAGCTGGAAGCTGGCTAAACTGCCAGGGTCAAATTGCCAATGGGCGAAGGAAACCAATGGGTAACCGTGTTTCCTAACCCGATCTAAAAAAGTTTTGAATAGAGTTTTCTGCGAGCTTTAAGGGTTTTTCGTTGGAGAGCTCAGGGATGTCGTCAAAAATGTTTCAAGTAATGCGTACTGGCAGGTTGGGCCTTCTCTTCACTGCCGCAGTCTTTTCAGTCAGCACCATTTCTGCGTCAGTCGCACGTGATACGACTGCTGACGCGGGCAGGGAGCAGCCGGATGAAACGCCGCTCCATATGCTGGTTTCCATCAAAGAGCAGAAGATCAAGGTCTACCGTGGATTGGACCTGATCGAAGTGTCGCCGATTTCGTCCGGCAAGCGAGGGCACAGCACGCCGACTGGTGTGTTTTCGATTTTGGAAAAGCGCCGCAAGCACTTCTCAAATCTCTATGACAATGCGCCGATGCCTTTCATGCAGCGCCTGACCTGGTCTGGAATCGCGCTCCATGTAGGGCGGCTTCCTGGTTATCCCGCCTCGCATGGCTGTATCCGACTGCCCCGTTCCTTCGCAAAGTCGCTCTATTCCATGACAGAGCGCGGCATGCATGTTGTTGTGACGCGTGATCACGCGGAGCCTGTGTCCGTTCGTCACGGCGTGTTGCCACAGCCCTATGTGCCGGCAACTGAAGTGGCAAGTCTTTCCGGGCAAACCATCGCCTCGGATCCTGCCTTGCGCGGTGCGATCCGCCCTGCGAACCTGCAGACTTCGCTGCCGGTCGCACAGCCGGAAAATCCATATTTTGATCGTCCGCTGCGGATGATCATCACGCCTCAGAAACTTCCGAGCAAGAGAAGGGTGTTGCAGCGCCTGCTGAACCAGATGGGCTACAACGCCGGTCCGGTTGACGGAGTTGTCGGCCGCAAGACCCGTGCAGCAATCCGCCTCTATCAGGAAGGTGCCGACCTGCCGGTTACCGGACGCATCACGGATGCACTCGTCGCACGTATCCATATGGAGGCAGGTTACGAAAAGCCGCAGAACGCGATCCTTCGTGTTCGCCGCAAGTTTTCGGATATCTATTCGGCCCCGGTCTCCGTCAAGAATATCGACCAGGAAATCGGCACACATGTTTACACCGCTCTCGACTTTGAAAGGGGTGACAACTCCGTCGAATGGATTGCGGTCTCTGCCGAAGGAGAACGTGGCGGTCAATCGGACGAGTTGCTGAACCGGATCGAAATTCCGAAAAAGGTTGCCACGGAGCTTGCCAAGATGCTGACACCGGGCACCTCGCTGACGATCACGGACCGGAGCTTCAAGCGCAACACCGGTCTGGGAACCGACTTCGTGGTGATCACCCGCTGAACCCGGACTTTCCGTTGGACTTGGAAATTACCCCCGCTTTTGCGGGGGTTTTATATTGTCCGGATAAGCGCACATTTCACCCGGATCGTCACCAAACTGTCGTGTCAGTCACGTATCGGAAGGCAATTCATCGATGCGGTGACTCGGGAGAAACCAATGGCGCAGAGCACGCTCACAGCTTCAAAGAAACGTCTCGACAATGCGGTACACCGCTCTGAGGTTACCTCCCGCGAAGGCATTTTGGAGCGTCTCTTCACCTTTGCCTTCAAGGGGCTGGTTTACCCGCAGATCTGGGAAGATCCGGACGTCGACATGAAGGCGCTTCAGCTGACGCCACAATGCCGGATGATCACGATCGCATCGGGTGGCTGCAATGTGATGTCCTATCTGACTGCCAATCCCGCGGAAATCACCGCCGTCGATCTGAACCGGGCCCATGTGGCTCTTGGCCGTTTGAAGCTTGCAGCAGCCAGGCACTTTCCGAACTATGAGACATTCTACAGGTTCTTCGGCGAGGCTGACGAGAAGGCGAATGTTGCTGCGTATAACCGGTTTTTGAAAGACAATCTCGATCCGGACACCATAGCCTACTGGGAAGGGCGCGACCTGGCCAACTGGGGCCGCAGGCGTATTTCACTGTTCTCGCGCGATCTCTATCATCATGGCCTGCTTGGATATTGCATCGGAGCGGGCCATCTCATTGCACGCCTTTACGGGATCAATCCGAAGCACATGGTGAAGGCCCGCTCCCTGGAAGAACAGCGTACCTTCTTCGAAACCGCCCTGGCGCCACTTTTCGACAAGCGTCTGGTGCGTTGGGCGACCTCGAAGAAAATGTCTCTTTATGGTCTTGGGATCCCTCCTGCACAGTATGATGCGCTTGTTTCCGCGAACGCTGATGGTGACATGTCTGCTGTTCTGCGCGACCGGCTGGAAAAGCTGGCATGCGATTTCTCCATGAAAGACAACTATTTTGCCTGGCAGGCATTTGGCCGCGGCTATGCACCCCAGGCAGGGGAGTCGACCGGGAAATCGGGCCCGTTGCCACCTTATCTGAAACGCGCGCATTTCGAGGAGATTCGGGCCCGAGCGAACAGGGTACGGGTCCTGAACCGGAATTTTACCGAACATCTTCAATCCGTCTCAGGCGACAGTCTCGACGCCTATGTGCTCCTTGATGCCCAGGACTGGATGACGGATTTTCAGCTGAATTCTCTTTGGGCGGAAATCACCCGCACAGCGCGGCCTGGCGCAAGGGTCATTTTCCGGACCGCCGCCGAACCGACACTGCTTCCGGGCCGTGTTGCGGACGACATCCTCGATCAATGGCGTTACGAGGAAAGCGAGAGCCTGGAACTCGGCCGGCAGGATCGCTCCTCCATTTATGGTGGCTTCCATCTTTACGTGTTCAACGGATAGCGCGCGGAACGGATTGCCGGATGAGTGAAGCTGTCGAAACGGCTAGATTGATGGACGCGGTCTATCGCCATCAGCGCCATGTCTACGATCTCACGCGAAAATACTATCTGCTGGGTCGCGATCATCTGATCAGGGAACTGCTGCCGCCAAGCGGCGGTGATGTTCTCGAGTTGGGATGCGGCACCGGGCGAAATCTGATCGCGGCTGCAAAAATCTATCCCGACGCGAATTTCTATGGTCTGGATATTTCAGCGCAAATGCTGGAAACGGCTGAAAGAAATATCGCAAGAGCGGGACTGGGCAACCGGATCAGGCTGATCGAAGGAGATGCCGCCAACCCGGCAGCAACTGACGCCCTGGGCGTACCGTCGTTCGACCGGGTGTTCTATTCCTACACGCTCTCGATGATCCCGGTCTGGCGGGAAGCGCTTTCAGCCGGGGCATCTCGCCTGAACACGGGCGGCCGCATCCTTGTGGTCGATTTCGGTCAGCAACGCGGGCTTCCAGCCTGGTTCGGCAAAATCCTGTTTAGGTGGTTGAAGTCGTTTCACGTCACACCTCGGGCTGATTTGAGAGAAGAGCTGGAACTGGTCGCAGCAAAGTCAGCGTGCCGGCTTGAATTCCGCAGTCTTTACCGCGGCTATTCGGACTATGCGGAATTGCTCAAAAGATGATGCCGATCCTTTTACGGCTGCAAAGATAAACTCCTCCCGGCGAGCGGCAATGGGAAAGCCGTCAATGCGCCTGCTCGCGTACTTTTTGCATCGCGTTTGCAAGATTCCGCTCCATCGCACCTTTGTTTATCGACAGGATCTGAAAAAGCTTCTCAGTCCAGGAAAGAGCACCGGACGCCAACAGGAAAGTCTCGGGGACGACGACCCATTCACCGATCCAGGTCCCACCGGAGCGTTCGTGTTGGTGAAGAGTGAGTTCCCCGATCTGTTCGGCGCGCTGGCGTCCGAGCCTCGCCACAGCTTCAGCGAATTCCGATGCGCGTTGGTTGCGTTTGTGACCCATGGCAGACGAAGCCCCCTTGCCGGGTGACGGGTTTTCCGCAAACTCGTCAATATCGGAAGAAGACAGCAGGTTGACGTTTTGCGCGATCTTGCAAAGTGTGCCGCAAAGGGTTCCGATCGCACCCACTATGTCGGCGATCCCGTCCCGGGCATTTTGCCAGTGTGGCTCGACAACATGCAGTCCGAGATCTTCGGCAATTCCAGCTTTGATCGCTTTGCCTGTTCCACTCTCGTAGGCTTGAAGGTCTCCGACCGGACCACCGATCTGCACATTCAATCCCCGTTGTCCGGCCTGTTCAATGCAAATTGCCCTTCTGCGCAGCTCCGATTTCCAGACTTCGAGTTTGGTGGCAAGTTTCAGCGGCACGGCATGTTGACCGTTGGTCCGGCCGATCATCTGCTGCATTCCATGGTCGTTGATATGCGCATCGATGTCAGCGAGGATGCCGTCAAGAAGAGTGGAGATCTGCCGAAGTCCATCGCGCATCTGAAGTGCCAGGGCGGTGTCCATGATGTCCTGGGTTGTGGCGTGATGGTGAACATGGCCCTGAGCGTCTCCGAGGCTTTCGCGCAGTTGCCTCACAAGACCTACGATCGGCCGGCCGACCAGCATCATGTCTTCACGAAGTTGGTGCCGGTCAATATCGGCAAGAGACAGGCCTGCCAGTGCCGTTGCAACGCTCTCAGGTATCAAACCATGTGCGGCCTGGTGTCTTGCCAGTGTCTGCTCGACCCTGAGCCAGCAATCGATGGTTGCGTCCTCCGACCAGGCAGCGCGCATTTCGGGGCTCGAAAAACAGTCCCGGTAAAGGGAAAAATCAAGCATCGCCGAGCTCTCCGTCAGCGATCCTGCGCTCCTTGACGATGGACCGGATGCGGAATGCGATAGCGGCACATCCGATCAACAGGAAAGCAAGCGCAATCGGTCTCTCGAAAAAGATCAGGAGGCCGCTGTCCGACATCAGAAGAGACTGGCGGAAAGTTTCTTCCGCACCCTTGGCAAGGACGAATGAAATCACGAATGCGGCAATGTTGAAGTCATGTCTGCGCATCAGCCAGCCGACAAACCCGGCAACTGTCATAACTGTAACGTCGAACATGGACGCGCGCGCGGAGTAGGCCGCGACAAAACTTGTCAGGAAAATGATCGGATAAAGAACGTTGGTCGGGACTTTCAAAATTAGCCGGGCGACCTGTGTTGCACCGAAGTACCCGATGACGCCATATGCCGCGATGCCGAGCATGCCACATGCAAACAAACGATAGACCAGCTCCTTGTCCGTCAGAAAAAGCGTTGGTCCGACCTGGATGCCGTGGATGAGAAAGACACCCAGAAGAATTGCGCCAATCGTTGAACCGGGAATACCCACGGTGAGCAGCGGAGCCATGGACGGACCGGAAACGGCATTGTTGGCTGCCTCCGGCGCTGCAACGCCCTCCAGGGCACCCTTGCCCCATTGCTGCGGATTTGTTGCGCGTCGTTTGCCTTCGCCATAAGAGATGAAGGCGGCGATTGCCGAACCCAGTCCGGGCAACACACCTATCCCGGCGCCGATCAGACCGCCTCTGAATGCATGCGGCAGGCATGGCTTGTATTCTTCCCAGGTGAGGCTGTCATCATCGGCCGCTGTCTGGTTGTCATCAATTCTGCCAGCTGATTTTCGCCGTTCTTCCATCTGTGAGAATACCTCACCGAGGACAAAAACGCCGATCATGAGAGGCACCAGGCCAATGCCGTTGGAGAGTTCGAAGGAACCGAAAGTGTAACGCTCTTCGCTGGAGATCGGGTCCAGACCGACCATCGCGACCAAAACGCCGAGAAGGGCGGATGCAAGTCCCTTGACGATGGATTTTCCGATGACGGATCCAATGACCACAAAGGCTGCGAAATAGATTGCAAAGGTTTCCGGCGGCCCGAGCTTGAGCGCGATAGCTGCGATGAAACCGACCCCTGCAACAAGCAGGATGTCACCCATGAAATCGCCGATGACCGATGAAATCGTTGCGACCTTCATGGCCTTTCCGGCCTTTCCGGCCCTGGCAAGAGGGTAGCCATCGATCTGGGTCGCGGCGCTTGCCGCCGTTCCCGGCGTATTGAAAAGGATGGCGGCAATCGAACCGCCGTAACGGCCGGACTTGCCGATGACGTAAAGAAAAGCCAGTGCGAAGAGCGGCGACATGTAGAAGGTGATCGGCAACAGCATCGCGATTGCCGCTGATGCTGTCAGTCCGGGCGTTGCGCCCACGATCATCCCGACGACGGCCGCCAGCAGGATCGCCGCGAGAAGGGTTGGATCGGTCACGACGGACAGGAGAGCAGGAAAGATTTCCATCGGGTTTACCCTTTGATCCAGTCGAGCAGATCGAACACTTCGCCATAGGGCGGAAACACGCCGAGCAGCTCAAAAAACAGAATGTGGAAGATGAGCGGGCACAGGATGACCGACACGGCCAGACCGACCCGGCTGCGAATGCCGAACAGGAAAAGAACGACCGGTGCCGCAAGGGCCGTGGGTAGAACGTAGCCGAACCATCGGATCGATTGCTGGTAAAGCAGGGCAATGACAAAGAGCCCTATGACATTCCCGGGAAACGGTTGTTTCTCGTCTTCTCCCGGCTTGGGCGCACCGGCAAATGCCGTGCTGCCGAGCATGAACGACGCTAGGCCGAGCAAAGCCAGACTTGCAGAAAACGGAACAATTCCCGCCCAGGTGTCACCAGTTGATGCTGCGGGTACCTGCCAGGCTCCCCAGAGCCCGACAAGGGCAACCACAGCCAGAACCAGGCCTTCGGAATAGGCGCGCATGACAGTCTCCCGAATTCCGTTGGAGGAGTGACGGACTGAAGAGACAGCCCGTCATTGACAGTTCAGTTGCTCAGGCTCTCGACCAGTGGCCGGGCGTCGTTTTTCATCGCACTCAAGGTTGCCTTCGCATCGACACCTTTCTGGTAAACCGGACCCGTACCCCGAGGCGCAAGCAATTCTGCGAATTCTGGCTTTGACGCGATCTGTTCAAGCGCAGTCTCCATGGCCGAAACAATCTCGGCAGGTGTGTCCTTCGGCGCAAAGACAATGACAGGGGAAGAAACCGCGGCGAACGGAATACCCAGTTCGCCGAAGGACGGCACGTCCTTCATGACAGCATCGCGATCCTGGCTGTTGACCGCCAGGGCCCGCAGCTGATCCTCAAACCCTGCAAGCTGCTGGACACCGAGAAACCCGAAATCCGCCTGTTCGCCGATCAGGGCCGCACGGGTCGGACCGCCGCCCTTGAACGGGACGTCTTGTGCATCGATGCCGTTGCTGGCAAGAAAACCAAGCCCGCCGACATGATGAAATCCACCGCGCCCGGAATGAGCCCAGCGAAGTGAACCCGGATCCGCTTTGGCTGCGTCAATTACATCCTGAACGGATTGAAACGGACTGCCGGTCGGCACCATGAGCGATGTCTGCAACTGGCCGACCTGAGCCACGAACTGAAAACTCTCAAGCGCGTCGATGTCGGTGTCGAGCGTTAGCGTGGACAGCAGGAACGATCCGCCGGAGGTCATCATCATCGTGTAACCGTCCGGGCGTGCGCCGACGGCCGAATTGGCCCCGTTCAGTCCTGCAGACCCTGGCTTGTTCACCACCACGACGGGCACGTCCAGTATGCCTTCCGCGGCCTTGGAGATCGCGCGGGCATAGGCGTCCGTTCCCCCGCCTGCCTTGTAGGGCACCACGAGATTGATGGGACGTTTGGGCCAGTCGGCCGCAAGACTTGCACCTGAAGTGAAGGCAATTGCAAGCGCCGCACCAACAGCGCCAAGGAACGTTCTGCGTTTCATTTTTTCCTCCCGAACTCGATAGTCGGACATTACGCCATGTTCTCAATTGCGAAAAATGCAAATGTGTTATCTACTCTTGCAAAATTTGAAAGTAAGACTCGATGAACATCAAAGCGCTAAGGGCCTTTCGCGCCACGCTTTCGGAAGGATCTTTGACAGCCGCATCCGAGATCCTGCATCTCAGTCAGCCGGCGATTAGCCGGCTCATATCCGGACTGGAAGCTGAATTGCGACTGCCGTTGTTTGACCGCAGCGGCCGAAACCTGACGCCGACCCGGGAGGGGATGGCGTTTTACCGCGAGGCCGGGCGCATCCTGGACAACCTCGACGAAGTGCCGCGTATCGCCGCGGAGATCCGGGCCGGCAGAACCGAAACCTTGCGGGTCGTCACGATGCCGCGCGTGGCGCAATCCCTGACAGCTGTCGCAGTGGCGCGCTTCATGTCCGAGAACCCCGAGACAAATGTAAGTCTGGATGTTCGTGCGCGGCGCGACGCCGGAAAATGGCTCGCCGGGCGCGAATACGATATCGGTATTGGCGCCCTTCCGGTGGATCATCCGGGGATCCGGACGAAAGCGCTGATCCGCGTACGTGCCCAGGCCGTTCTTCCCCGCACACACAAATTGGCAGATCGGCAGAGCCTCACCGCTGCCGATCTTCGCAACGACACGGTGATACGTCTCATGCACGGCTTGCTTTTGCGCGATCAACTGGACGATTTCTTCCGGTCAGCCGGCATAACACCTCAACAGAGTTGTGAAGTAGCAGCATCTCAGCTGGCCTGCTCACTGGTGGCTGAAGGATATGGCATCACGATCGCAGACGAACTTGTTGCCGCGCAGGTGTCCCTTGACCGTCTCGCCCTTGTGCCGGTTGTTCCGGAACGATGGATGACTTTCGGGCTGCTTTATCCTGCAGGCCAGGAGAAATCCGCAGCTCTTCTTCAACTGGAGGACATCCTGCGCGCACTCTCGGAACAATTGGCGGCAAGGAGCCCAACTCTTCTGGTCGCAGGACCAGATGAAGGGAAATGATTTGAATTCGATTTCCAAAATTCTTGAAAATAGTATTCAACGACAATGCATGATATATCTACTAATTTACTCAAGGTAAAATTGCTAATATTTTGGTTTGCCGGAATACTTTGAAGTTTCCGGGAGGTTGTTACAGGAGGAGTTATGTCTGAAATCTATTATCTCATGGAAATGATCATGGACTTTCACTCGTCCAGTACCGAAGACGGATATTTCCTGTGCAGCGCTATTCTTTCAAGCGGTGCCGGTGCGCCACCCAATCGTCACATGAATGATCAGGAATCATTTTTTATCCAAAAGGGCCAAATCGAGTTTTCTGTCGGTGATGAGATCATAACCGCCGGGCCAGGCCAGTTTGTGAAGGTTCCGCGGGGCGAAGTTCATGCGTTTCGCAATGCGACGGATCAGGAAGCGGAAATGCTGATCCTCAATGTGCCGGGCTCCATTCATGAAAACGTATTCAGGATTTGTGGCACCAAGCTGGAACCGGGGTCGCGTGAGTGGCCCTCTCCCGAACCGGAGCTTGACATGGCATGGGTTGCAAGGGTTTGCGCTGAAGAGGGGCTGGAAATAGTCGGCTAGCGAAAAGACTTCATGGTTGCCGGGTTGGTGCCTGGGTCAGTCCCCGGCCACGAAATAGTGCAGGGTTCCGTCCGGACCGATGCCGACGCGATAAAATGTCCAGGCCCCGAATTCTTCCATTTCCGCAAAATCACCGGCTGTAATGATCCGGTACATTTCCACCTTCTGGTCCGGCGTCAGACTTGATAGCGGGAAGCGGGCAAAATACGGCCAGATGTACATTTCCTGCGGTGTTCCGGCATCGACGTGAATGAAGCCGGCCTCGAGCGTATCGGCGAGGATCGCCAGGATCTCAAAACCCTCGCCGTCGCCCGAACTTTCCTTCAGGAAGTCGATCGGATCACCGATGTCACCGAAGGAAAGTGTCGGCGGCAATTCGTTGCTCTCCAGGACCATTCGCAACCGGTTCATGTCCCCCTCAAGAGCTGCTTGTCTCAACTGCGAGTGCATGCGCGCGACCGGTTTTGGCAGGACAGATGTGTTGTAGAGAACCTGTGGCGGTGTGAGATCTGTCGAAGTTTCCGCCTTGGTTTGATCCGGTTCACGCGATAGCTCGCTTTGTGGAACGCCGAGTTGATCCACCGGTATCGGGGCTGTTTGCGAATTGCTTTCCGGACTGACCGGTATTGTGTCCGTCGTAACACTCTTGCCGATGCCGGCAGTTGGAAAAAAGCAGAATACCAGAACCGCCACCCAAATTACCCGTCCCATGGCGAACTCCTGTGAATTTTGATTTGTTGCGCTTTGCCCCGCAGGGACATTCCTTAAACAATTCGTGGCACGGTGGAAACTGGCTGAGGGTATTTTCCTGCGCGTGTTATCGGCGTCCCGCGTCGTGCGCGACCCGGCAGGGGCTTCCATTCGAAAACCAGGGCCTAGTGAAAAGGACCGGCTGTGACAGTCTTGGAATATGTGCTGATCGGCTTTCTTGTCGGGATTCTCACGACAGCACCTGTTGGCCCTGTCAATGTCATGGCAATTCAGCACGCAGTCAAAAACGGTTTCAGCCACGGGGTTTTTGTCGGGCTCGGCGCAGTGGTGGCAGACACGATTTTCGCATCTGCGGCCATATTCGGTGTGTCGGCGGTTACCAATTTCGTTGATTCCCGGTTTGGGCTAATCGAGATTGTTGGGGGCGCGCTGCTGATCGTATTTGGCATCAGGATCTGGAACACCCATCCGCATATTGAAAAAGACGGCAACGGACGCGAATACAGCTATCTGGGAGATGCCGCCGCGGCCTTTTTCATGGCGATTACCAACCCGGGAACAATTTTTGCGTTTGCTGCCATTTTTGGTGTTTTGGGAGACTATCGACCGGCGCATGACGATCATTTCGGGTCACTGCTGATGGTCGCCGGCGTGGCCGGTGGTGCAACGTCATGGTGGCTGTTCGTCTCGGCAACGGTCTCGCATTTCAAGTCAAGGATTGACGATCGCTGGCTGGGCCGGGCCAACCACATCGCCGGATTTGTACTGATTGTTTTCGGCGGATTGATTTACCTGAACCTGGCTCTGGACAGGCTCGGTCACGCAGCCGGTATCTGGGGACATTGATCCAGTACACGAAATGAAAAAGGCCGGACAAGCCGGCCTTGTGTATTCGTCGGATCAGGATTACTGGAGAACCCGGTTCACCGTGTAGTCGCCCTGAAGGATGCGGTCCGGCAATCCTTCGGCAAGTTTCGCCACGGCATCTTCACCATAGGCCGCAACGAGATCAGCAAGTGCGGTAAACATTGCGGCGTGTGCAACCGCGTCGGCATCCACGCCGTTTGCGATGGCTTCCGCCCAGGCATCCGAAATAAAGCCGAGCGCAGCGCGTCTGATGTCTTCGTCCTCGGCAAATTCGGCGTCCATTGCTGCCTCAGCATAATCGTCGTTTATCATTCGTTCCCTTACCGGTCTGTCCCGAACGCTTGGAGACAACTCCAACGTGTCCCTGTCCCGAATCTCATAACCTGATCCTAGCACGGTGATCCGCGCTGATAAGTAACCGTGAACGCAAACTTAACGGCCACCCACAAATTTGATTCAAAAGGTTAACCAACTCGTAACGTTTTGAAGATTTTGCCCCGGTTTATCTGCCGTACCGGCTGGTTACGTCGCTGATGATGGTCTCACCCTCGTTGAGGTATTGTGCCATTGCGATACGGGCCGCGTCTGTGCAGTCCCTGTAAGCGACTGAGAATCCACGATATCCCTGGTTAAACCGTTCAATGAATCTGCGTCGCCGATTCTCGTCGATGGTTTCGGCGTCCAGAAAATCTTCCATCCGGTCCCGCCAGCTCGGGTCGTCGTTTTCTTTGCATAAGGGGCGCAGAAAATGGAGCGCGCCGAATATTTCCGAAAGGCGCATCAGCTGCTGTTCATAGGGCGGTGCATCGATCCCGGCTTGCTGAGCGGACACAACCTGAACCGGTAGGGAAAGTGCCAGCATTGCAAAAATGATCGCCCGGCAAATGAAATCAGCTACGCGTTTTTTCCTCATGCGGGGATCATGCGCGCGGGCAAGGGGTACTTCAAGCGCTACGGTGAAGTGATCCCAAGAATTGCAATGTCCGGGTGGAAGGCATTAGCAACGAATGCGAATGTCACGTCATGGACGAGGGGTACTTCCCGATCGTTTCCTGTCCTGACCGCCTCGACGGACCCGATTGATCGGCCACTACCGGTCTCGCGCTGGTCCAGAATGGAAGCCTGTTCTCCACTCCAGCGTAACCGCACGTTTTCCGACAGGGAGATCGGGCCTGCCGTTCTGACGTGATCGAGTGTGGCGGCAAAAATCTGGTTACCATCACGAACGACCACAACTCTTGCCATGGGGTTGATGTTGTCTGGAAGGTCTCCCCGATAGAGGGGATATGGCGCCGATCGGCTGTCGTATCCGACATAAGGATTGGACCCGTAGTTGCGCCGAGGCGGCGACGGACGGGCAAGAACCGCGGCTTGAGGGTGTGTCTTGCGGACTGCCTCGAAGGCGACGACCCGGGACGGGATCATTTTCAGGTCGCGCCCGGCATGGGTGCCGACGATGCCCTCACCGGTAAACTGCTGCCACCAGGTTTCGGTCTGTCGGTCATACATGACAAGGTCGGAGTTTCTCAAAAGGCCAGTCGTTCCGAAATCGAGGACGTTGCCGTCAAAGCGCCGGTCAAAGACGATGGACGAATTGCACAGTGGGCAATAGGTCACCGATACCGGTGTCTCGCCGATCCGGTCGTTGACGATCTCATGCCAGATCAGGATCTGAAGCGGGTAGGCTTTGACGGCATCATCCAGCTCGAGAAGGATCACGGGCTCCCGGTCCTGAAGCCAGTCGACGCTGCTTGCAGGCTGAAATGCCGGTTTGTCGATTGAGGGAATACCGTCTTTCGGTGGACCGCCGGAAAAGATCGAGTTCAGGTCGATGCT